GGCCCAGCCGGCCCCGGCGCCCCAGCTCACCCGAGCCCGTGGTGGCTGCCATCTTGCGTCGCTGTCGCTCGAAGGCCGGCCCCTTCTTCACCCCCCATCGGTCCCCTGGGCCCGCTGCGCAGGCGTGCGCGCACGCGCAGACGCGCCCCTGACGCGCGCTCCGCACACCCGCGCAACCTGCTCGGGCTCTTGCCTTTTAGAGAGGAAATAAGTGCGTGTGCGAAGGCCCAGCAAAGTGCAAGTCTCTCCAGGCCCGGGGGCGAGGGAGGCATTGAGGTGCTTGGTGAGAAGGGCAGGGGCGATTACGCTTGCGGGGCGCGACTGTGAGAGAGAAAGAAGAGGAAGCTTCAAAGGGAAAAGCGTCTACTCTGCTTCGGGCATTTGCCCACCTGGAGTGGCTACTGGCAGCTCCACCAGGTCAGGATGGGCGTGAAAACTGTAGTTGGGAGGGAGTAAGCGATTTATCTAAAGTCAGCTGTTCAGTGGCTGAGTTAGAATTTGCACCCAAGCCAGACGGTCTTGCATTTCAGGGTCCGGCGCTACTCGGCCTGAGGAGGCTTGTCCTGGGTGCACCAGGATGATCTGGGGCTTTGAGGTGGCTAAGAAAGCATGTGCTCACCCATCGGTCCATCCACTCACCCGTCTGTTCCCTCATCAATCCGTGCATGCATCCTAACTAAGATTACTTAGGCACCCACTGCTGAAGGGGCTAGTGAGGCCGGGTGCAGAGGTGGTCACGCTAGCGCCCGCCGGCCCCGGGTTCCCGTCTCACACTCAGGAAGAATCAGAGGTGCGGACATGGCGGGGGTGGGGGCTGGAGCGGAGTTTATGAAGACAGCCCCTAAGCAGGGCGGTCTGGAAAACGGTTGCCCAGGAGGAGCTGGAACTGGAGCACGGTTTTTTCTTTTGTTTTCTTTCTTTTTTTTTTTTTTTTTTGAGAGGTTTTTGCTATAGGGCGTGTGCGCTTGCCAGAAAGACAGAGACAGAGAGACAGAAAGCGAGAAATCACCACCACCACCACCACCCACCTCCCGGGGGATGGCCACACCACAATCCCTTCTCCTCCATTCTCCTCTTGGGATCTTGGGCTTGCACGCACATGCGCCTGGCGTGAGTTTAAGCCACTGGGTCTGGGACTCGAACTACGGTTGGCTACATGGGAGTCCAGCGACATAGCCATTACGCTAACTGCTGGTCCCTGGAGCACGGCTTTTAATCTGGGTCAGAGGGTCCTTGACTGGGCTTGTTCTAGGTGGAGCTTGTCTTTGTCTAGAAGCTTTGGGCCATGGAAACCATTATCTGTTTTCTTCCTGGCATGTGATGGGGCCTGGGAAAAAGCCTTGGTTTTAGTCAGGCTTCCTAGGTTAGTCATTGAGTTACTGTTGCACTCTCCCTGACAAGCAGCTGAACTGTGTGTACCCATCCTAAAACTTAGCCATTTTGTAATTCCATTTTGGGCTTATACCCTAACTATATTGTTAGGGTTCCTGTCTCAGAAGATAGTCAGGAAGGACCTCCTAAGGGGTTCATATTTTGACAGCCCCAGATGAGGAGGAGGTGGAGAGAACAGCATGTGCAAAAGCCCTGGGGACATAAATGTGCTAATAAATCCAGGAAGGAGCTCCTTTATCATAAATGGTCCAAGATGCTTGTGTGTGCGCGCACGCGCGATCGCAGGAGAGACAGAGAGAGACAGAACGTGAGGAAACCACCCTACATTCCCCCCAGAAAGGATGACCACCCCGCAGTTCCCTCTCCTTCATTGTCCTCTTGGGATTTGGGGCTTGCAGGCACACACACATCGTGTGAGTTTGAAGTTGCCAGGTCCAGGACTCGAACTACCATCAACTACGTGGGAGTCCAGTGATGCAACCACTATGCCATCTGCTAGTCCCTGAGATGTTCTTTTTTTTCCCTTTGGAAGAGGTTTGACAAGCAGCTGAACTGTGTGTACCCATCCTAAAACTTAGCCATTTTGTAATTCCATTTTGGGCTTATACCCTAACTATATTGTTAGGGTTCCTGTCTCAGAAGATAGTCAGGAAGGACCTCCTAAGGGGTTCATATTTTGACAGCCCCAGATGAGGAGGAGGTGGAGAGAACAGCATGTGCAAAAGCCCTGGGGACATAAATGTGCTAATAAATCCAGGAAGGAGCTCCTTTATCATAAATGGTCCAAGATGCTTGTGTGTGCGCGCACGCGCGATCGCAGGAGAGACAGAGAGAGACAGAACGTGAGGAAACCACCCTACATTCCCCCCAGAAAGGATGACCACCCCGCAGTTCCCTCTCCTTCATTGTCCTCTTGGGATTTGGGGCTTGCAGGCACACACACATCGTGTGAGTTTGAAGTTGCCAGGTCCAGGACTCGAACTACCATCAACTACGTGGGAGTCCAGTGATGCAACCACTATGCCATCTGCTAGTCCCTGAGATGTTCTTTTTTTTCCCTTTGGAAGAGGTTTATGCTATAGGGCGCGTGCACTCGCCAGAAAGAGACAGAAAGAAAGAAATCATTCCCTGGGGGATGGCCATGCCGCAATCCCCACTCCTCCATTCTCCTCTTGGGATCTTGGGCACACATGCACACGCACCTGGCTTGAGTTTAAGCCACCAAGTCTGGGACTTGAACCGCAGTCAACTACATGGGGGTCCGGCAACATAGCCATTACGCCAACTACTGGTCCCCCCTGAGATGTTCTTATATGATTATAGAAACTGAGGCTGACAGACGAAAAGGACTGGCTTAAGGTCTCAGGGCAAAGCACTGGTATAGGGCTGGCAGGTGGTGTGGTGGTTAAGGGTGTTAGATTCCCACATGGCTGACTGTGGTTTGAATCCTGAACCCTGGTGGCTTACTTTCTCACATTCTCTCTGGTCAAATTAAATAATAATAGTAATAAAATGAAATCATTCTTAAACACACACACACACACACACAGGCCGGCAGATGGTGTGGTGGTTAAGGGTGTTAGATTCCCACATGGCTGACCATGGTTCCAGTCCTGGACCTGGAGGCTTGCTTTCACTTTCTCCCTCTCTCTGGTTGAATTAAAAAAAATAATAAATGGGACCAGCAGGTGGCTTGGTGGTTAAGGCCCTGGACACTCCCACATGGTCGATCATGGTTCGAGTCCCGAACCTTGTGGCTTACTTTCTCATTTCTCCTTCCCCCTCTCTCTGTGTCTCTCTCTAGTCAAATTTAAAAAAATTAATGGATAAATAAAATAAGATAATTCTTGAAAAAAATAATAATAAAATTAATTAAATACTTTTTTTTTTTAAAGGTGGTAGGAGAGGAAGGAATAAAGGAGCAGCTGTTACTGAACTCCAATCAGGCTCACTCGCCCAAGCACTACAGACCGGACTGCAGGCGCATGGTATGATAACTAACGGGAAGTCCGGCTTTATTGCAAAGTCCAAAGCAAAGAGAACGGGCAGCTCGGTCTCCCTGGGATGTCCATCACATGCCTTTTTACGAACAAAATTAGGGGCAGGCGTCCTAGGCACAGGATCTGTTCAATGATTAGCTCAAGAGGTAGTGATCATCAACGTTGTGGGCGTTATTGATTGCCAAGGCCTTAAATAATCAAACTTGTACAGGTTTCTGTAGCCATTCAGCCTGGGGGCTTTGAGCTTGCAGCCAGCAGTTTCCATCCTATGAAACATCTTACATATTAAAACCTTATCTCTCTGTTAAGGGAACTTTATTTATTATTTTTAAAAGAATGATTTTATTTGACTTTATTTTTTATTTTATATTTTTAAAGAATTATTTATTTAATTCCATTTGCTCCATTTGTTACGGTTTTTTTTTTTTTTTTTTTTTTTTATGAAATTTTTTTTATATAGGGGATTCGCGCTCACCTGCGCTCACCAGAAAGAGACAGAGAGAGAGAAAGGAAAAACTCCCCCCTCCCCCAGGGGGGATGGCCATGCCACAATCCACTCTCCTCCATTCTCCTTTCAGAATCTTAGGCACTTGGGGACACACGCACATGTGTTTGGCATGAGTTTAAGCCACCAGGCCCGGGACTCAAACTGCAGTCGACTACATGGGAGTCCAGCGACATAGCCATTACACCAACTGCTGGTCCATGTTATTATTATTTTTTCATTTGACTAGAGAGAGAGAGAGAGAAAGGGAAAGCAAGAAAGCAAACTATCAGGTCTGGGACTCGAACCATGGTCAGCCATGTGGGAATCCAGGGCCCTTATTCACCACACCACCTGCCAGCCCTATTTATTTATTTTGATTTGACCAGAGAGGGACAGAGTGTGTGTGTGTGCGAGAGAGAGAGAGAGAAAGAGAGAGAGAGAAAGAGAGAGAGAGAAAGAGAGAAAGCAACCAACTGTGGTTGGTTGAGCGTGTGGGAGTCCAGCGCCCTCTACCACCATGCCACCTGCCTACCACTTAAGTGAGTTTTAGAGGTCTAAGGGCCCTTATTCATGGCCAATCTTGCTTCATTACCATAACCAAAGTCTGAAGTCTTGCCCCTTACTCTGGGCCATTACAATGTAAATGGAAGACCTGGTATTCCAAGCACCTTAGAAAATACACTTTACTGTGGGGTCCTGTGTGCTTGCATGCCCAAAATCCCAAGAGGAGAAAGGAGAAGGGATTGCAGCCTGTCTGTTTCTCTCTCTCTCTCTCTCTTTGGCGAGTGTAGGTGCCCTAAGGCAAAAATCTCTCAGAAAGAAAACACTTCACTTTTAGTTCAACCCTTATTAACATTCCGTGTGGGAAATTTTTATTTAATAAAAGAGGAAACTGAGGTCCCAGTTCTATTATTTATTTATTTATTTTAATTTGCTATAGAGCACGTGTACTCACCAGAGAGAGGGGGAAATTGAGAAAGTAAACTGCCAAGTCAGGACTTGAACCATGGTCAGCCATGTGGAAGTCCAGTGTCGTAATGACCACGCCACCTGCTGGCCCCAGTTATCACTTTTTTGTGACAGCAGTGCCTACTAAGCATCTCTGCACTCCTTTCACTTCTCCCACTTGTCGGACCCCCAGCTCCACTCTTGCCCCATGATCCAGGTACATATGGTGGCCACTGCTCAAGGCATCCTCCAGCTAAACCTTTAGTGGCTCCCCATTCCCCGGGTAAGTATAGACTCCA